ACTCCCTGATAAGCAATTCAAAAAAATTATATTTAGGTATCTTCAAAGGATTGAGAGATAGATCAAGGAAAACACTGACAAAATTAAGGAAAACACAGACAAAACCCTAGAACAATTTCAGACAAAAATATAAGAGCAAAATGAAAAATCAGAAATAATTCAAAATCTACAGATAGAAATCCAGAAGGTTAATACTAAATTTTCAGAAATAGATAACACATTGAAAGGGCAAAGGAGTAGAATCGAACCAATGGAAGACAGAATTAATGAGACTGAAGACAAATACCTGAATACTTCTTTGGAAAGGGATCAATCCGAAGAAAGATCAAAAGAAAATGAAGAAAGTCAAAGGTTCATGTGGGATACCATCAAAATGAATAACTTATGTGTTATTGGAATTCCAGAACAGGAAGAGAAAAATAAAACCACTGAGAAAATTGTCCAAGATTTGTTGGAAGAGAACTTCGCTGGTATGATGAAAGGGGAGAATATATCCATTCAGGAAGTCCAATGATCCCCAAACAGGACAGACCCCAAAAGAAAATCACCAAGACATATTATCATCAAACTCATCAAAACCAAAGACAAAGAGAGAATCCTGAAAGCAGCACAGGAAAACAAAGTTACTTACAAAGGACAGTCAATAAGAACAAGCTCTGATTTCTCAGCAGAAACCATGCAAGCCAAAATGCAATGGGAGAGTACATATAAAACACTGAAAAAGAAAAATTTCCAATCAAGAATTATATACCCGGCAAAAATTTCCCTCAAAGATGATGGTGAAATTAGGACATTTTCAGATAATCAGAAATTAAAGGAATTTGTTAAAACCAGACCAACATTACACGAGATACTAAAGGGAGTCCTTTGAACAAAGAACCCAAAACAGCAAACAACTGACCATTAATACACAAGATGATATAACCCAGAAACCAACACAGCTATGGAAGTATCCAAAGTAAAATAAGCTTGCAAGATTGTAAACAGGGAAGCAGAGACATCAATTGGCAAATGAGGACAACTGCAAACCAAAAAGAGGGAAAATACTGTGTAGTTACAGAACTTCTAAATGGTGAGCAAGTCAAGAGAGCTGCAAGACAGAATGGACTGTTCTAAACTCAGAGAGAAAATGATAAAACACAGGGTAGCCTCAAAGAAAAATTATAAACATTCCCATCACAATAAAAGAGGGCAAGCACAATTATTTAGCAAATACTAAAATAAGAGCAACAAAGGAAATGATAACATGATTCATAAACATAATGAGCTCAGCACAGAAAATTATATGGAACAAAGAAACCAGCAACACCATGAAAAAACACTTAACAAAATGACAGCAACCAATTCATACTTGTTGACAATTACATAGAATGTCAATGAATTAAATGCACCACTGAAGAGATGGAGAATTGCAGATTGAATAAGAAAACAACCCATCAATATGCTGTCTACAAGAGACACACCTTAGAGACAAAGACAAAAATAGATTAAAAATAAAAAATCAAAGATACATCAAGCAAATGGCAACCGAAAAAGAGCAGGAGGGGTATTATGTATTTCTGATAAAATTGACTTTAAGATAAAAAATTGGGGGTAAAGTATTTGGAAAAAAAAAAGCAACAGTGAGAAAAAATATTTGCAACTCATATATCAAATGAAGTACTTGTATCCAGAACATACACTGAACTCTCAAAAACTCAAAAAACCTCAAAAACCAAACTCACTGCCATCAAGTTGGTTACAACTCATAGTGACCTCTCCTTGGGTTTCTGAGGCAGTATCTCTACGGGTTGGTTACAACTCATAGTGACCTCTCCTTGGGTTTCTGAGGCAGTATCTCTACGGAGGAAGATTGCCCAACCTTCCTTCCAAGGAGTGGCTGGTGGGTTTGAAGCACCAGCCTTCTGGTTAGCTGTCCAATACCACCAGAGCTCCTCAAAAACTCAAAAACAAAACAAAGACCCAATTAAAAAGGGGTAAATGATTTAAATAGATACTTGACCAAAGGAGACATACAGATGGCAAATAAACAGATAAAAAGATGTTCAAAATTGTTGCTGTTTTCTGCTATCTAGTAGACTCTGCCTCACAGCAATCCTGTACAACAGAACAGAATTGCCCCTCAGGGTTTCCCTTGGCAGTAATCCTTACCAGAGCAGATCACCAGGTCTTTTCTTCCTCAAACTCCTGGTGGTTTCCAATGGCCAACTTCTCAGTTAATGGCCTAGGGCTTAACCATTGTACAATGAGAAGAGTAGCAGTAAGAGGGACAAAGAGGGGAACTTGCGTCTGGCCACAAGTCCAAGGGGGAGCCAGATGAGGACAGAATGACATTCTGAGGCACCACAAATATGGAAGGTGCTGAACGGGACAGCTGGAAAAGAGGGGGAAAGGTATTTCTGCTGACACATCACCGCTATCAACATCTATTCATCTAGAAATTGTATGTGTGTATGCATGTATGTGTGCGCAACTTAAAGAATGCCATTGGATGCTCCTTATCCTCCCTGTGCCCCTGCACCAGAGCTCCTTCATTAGTCATTAGAAGAAAAGAAATTAAAACTGTAAGATACATACCTAATAGACTGGCCAAAATTAAAGGCTGAACATGTATCACTGGGGGTATATAAAAGAGTACAACCACTTTGGAAAACAGTTTGGCCTACCATATGATCCAACCATTCCACTCCTAGCTATTTACGCAAGAGAAATGAAAGCCTATGTCTATATAAAGACTTGTACATGAATGTTCCCAGCAGCTTTATTTGTAGTAGTACTGATTGGAAGCAACACAGATGTCCATCAAAAGGTGACTAGGTGCAGTGTAATAAATTACTTAGTGTGGCTTTTCTACCCATAAGTCTTTGTAAACTCCAAGGTGGGATTTGCTATGAGCAACTGAGGAGCTCCTGATAGCTGAAGTTGTCCACCTGGAGTATTTCTGTTGCGAGTGGCACAAAACAATGTTCTGGGAGATGTCCACTCTCTCTCAGGTGCTTAAGAGTTCTGATGCTATGATTTGGCTAGTTTGACCACCCTGCCGGGCTCAAAAGGAGGCCTCCTAGAGGCAGAACTCTCTCTGACTGCTGGTGGAGGAAGACGTGCTGCCGAAAGAGACATGCGCCCCCAAAAGAGACACGTGCTGCTGGGAAAGAGACGCACAAGAGACATACATTGCTGAGTGAGACACCAAGGGACCAGCACTGCTGGGAAAGAGACTGTGAGAGACTGTTGGCTGAGGGACGGTGGGCTGGGCAAGTGGCTGAGCATTTTTTCTGCACTTGAATTGTAGCCTGTGGTGCTTCCCTAATAAACCCCACAATCTGTGAGCTCTGTGTGGCCACTGCAGCGAATTATCAAACCCAGGAGAGAGGTGGTGGGTGCTTTGGAAGAAACGGTTGGAGAAAGCGCTGGGGGGAGACAGCATGTCTGGCCTGGCAGGAATAGGCCTTGGGTTACTGCTGGTAATCCTGTCTTCCTCTTGTAGGGTTAGAGGAGGTCGGAACATGTGGCCTCCTTGCCCTTTTTGCACTAGGAAAGCAAATTCTGGTATATAAGTACAATTAAATATTATGCAGCAATAAAAAGCAACTATTGCTATACACAACAACATGGATGTATCTCAGACTAATTATGCTAAGCGTAAAAAAGCAGACAAAAAGAGTATATACTGTATTTTATTTATACAAATTCCAAAAAAAATGCAAACTGATCTATGTCAAAGTAAATCAGTGGTTAGGTGCTCACAGGATACTTACAGAGGGGCTTGAGGCTACATCTGTGGTGATGGGCATGTTCATGATACTGATTGTGGCGATCGTGTCACGAGTGTATACCTATGTGAATACTCACCAAATTACACACTTTAAATATGTGCACTCTGCTATAGGTCAATTACACTTCGATAAAGCTATTTGCAAAAGGTCTTTATAGACACTAACATGAAAAAATTTCTGCAATTAAATGAGGAACAAAAGCAGTAAAATAATGGCAGGATAATGGCAGGCATATTTTTGTTTAAAAAAAAATTGTTTTAAATATATACTAAAATTGGAACGATACAGAGAAGATTAGCATGGCCCCTGCGCAAGGATGACACGCAAATTCGTGAAGCGTTCCATATTTAAAAAAAAAAAAAAAAAAAGTTATATTCCCCCCAGTATCTGACATCAGGCCTTGACTTCTTCCTGGTGTTCAGGTGGTACAGTTAACTCTCTTGGCTGCTAACTGAAAGACTGGTGGGTCAAGTCCACACAGAGATGCCTCAGAAGAAAGCACTACTTCTGAAAAATCAACCAGTGAAAACTCTATGGAGCACAATTCTATTCTGACACACAGGATCGCCATGAGTTACAAATGACTCAATGGCAACTGGTTTTTTACTTGTTTACTTCTTAATAAGTACTGTACTGCTGTACTGTTTCAATCTTGCATCACAAACATGCACTGCTTTCATTATAAAAACTTCTAATTTTTTTTAAAAAAATTTTTAAATAAAGATAATAAAATGATAAATAAAAATGTTATAGATAGAAAGCATCTTGGTCTTTAATCAAAATGACAACAATACTTGTGTGAGATTGCTTGGATTAAAAATTTTCTTAAAATAATTTTAATTTCCTAAATTTTATTTATTTATATTAAATACATATTCATTTATATTAAATATTTATTTATTACTCCTTTATAAAGGAGCTCTGGGGGTATAGTGCCTAAGGCATTTGACTGCTAACCAGAGGCTGGTGGTTCAAACCCACCAGTCACTCCACGGAAGGAAGACTGGGCAAGCTACTTCTGTAAAGATTTACTGCCTGAGAAACCCAAAGAGGGTCATGTGAGTCAGAACTGACTTGATGGCAGTGAGCATACTTTAAATTTTATATAATATGGTTATAATACCTTAGAAGTAAAAAAATTAAAATGAAAATAGTCCTCCATTTTAACATAATTCCAAAATAACACCAGGAATCCACAAATTCTAATTAATAAAGGCTTATTACCTAAATTAGCACTTCTCAGCATGCTGATCAGCGCTGGCATAAGTTGAAACTCAAATATCCGTTGGCCTCCACAGTGACTACAGGCTGGGATCTCAATGACTTCTGGTGTAGGGCAGGACAAAAAGAGTGGCTCTCCATTCCAGGAATACCTATGGCAAGGAAATAAGACTCCGTGAATCAGAGCCACTTACTTACTAGTCAGATTCCACCATCTAAGGCCAGGCTTTGAAAATTTCATTTCTTTCTTGCAGAGTTCCAGCAACAAAACGAGAGAAGAATATTTCACAAGGGACCAAAAACTAGTGGCAAAGCTGTAAAATGTAGCAAGATATCCAAAGTTTTGTCAATGCTCAATTCAAAGTCTCAATGAAGGGACTAAATGCAACACTGAATTGAATCGAACTAAAAATTACAATAAAGCCTAGATTCAACCTAACTGTAGATTAAATTGACCCAATTCTCCACATCATCAGCCTTCCATAAGTGGCATGCTTCCTGAAAAAGCACTGACTATTTCAAACGATAGGAGCTCTGGCGGTGTAAGCCTAAGGCATTTGACTATTAACCAGAAGGTTGGCAGTTCAAATCCACCAGCCACATCGCAAAAGGAAGATTGGGCAATCTACTTCCATAAACATTTACCACCTTGGAAACCCAATGGGGGTCGCTATGAATTGGAATAGACTCGATGGTAGTGAGTTTCATTTGATTTCAAGCAAAAGGAGCTCTGGTGGTGTAATGGTTAGGACATCTGGCTGCTAACTAAAAGGCCAGTGGTTCAAACGCACCAGCCACTCACAGAACAAAGATGAGGCAGTCTGTTTCCATAAAGATTTACAGCCTTGGAAACCCAATGGGCTGTGAGTCACAATCAACTCGATAACAATGAGTTTGGTTTTTTGGGGAATTCAAGCAAAAATAAGGTGGGGTTTATAGCATACACAGAAGTGAAATATATGAAAACAAAAAAAAAGGCAGGAGCTGCCATCTAGATGCAACAATGGGTCTCTCCTCGTCCAGAGCAAAGAATGAAGAAAACCAAAAATTCATGGAAATTAGTCCTAGCGGCTGGTACACCATCCGATCTGCAGCCTATACGACTATGAGACCAGAAGAACTAGATGGTACCCGGCTACTACTGTCAACCACTTGGAAGAGGATCTATGTAGGAGATTCTGGATAGACAGGGAGAACAATGTAGAACAAAACTCAAAATCATGTGGAAAAAAAAAGGGGGGGGGGAGACCAGGTTTGCTGGCCCGATAGAGCCTGGTGGAACCACTGAGACTATGGCCCCTAGCTGCCCTTCAGGTCTGGAATTGAACCACGCCTGTGGCTTCCAGCCAAACAATAGACAGGCATATGAGCTGAACATTTACCTGAGGTAGATACACTCCTTGGAGAGAACAATCCTGGGAGAAAGAAGGGCTGCTTATGCACAGGGAGACAGATCAGGGCGCAGGAGTGCACGGAGTGATGGACACAGGGAAGAGGTTAACTATCGGGAAGAAGTAGGAGGGGAGATGTTGCATTGTGGTAAACTGTGGTCAATGTCATGAGACAAAGTGTATGTGAACTGCTGTATGGAAAGTGTATTTGCTCTGTAAATTTTCACCCAAATCACAATAAAAAGGAAAAAAAAAAAAAAAAGTGCAGGGGAAGGGTGAATGGAATTAGTCTTTTATGAGATTCTTAGTACATAAAGCTGTAAAATATTTGAAGGCAGACTATAAGTAAAAGATGCACAATATAATCCCTAAAATAAACATTAAAAGGGCAACACAAATAAAGTGAATAATTACATCAGGGAGGTATGTACTCTTTAGTACAATCAGCTATAAGAGACCAAAAGGGCAGTATTTGCCCAGAAACAAAGCTCAGGAGGCAGGAAAGAAGGACGAATGGAAAAGGGAAATGTAGGGAAGAAGTAGAAGAGTGCTATTACATTGAGGGGATTGCAACCAGTGTCAGAAAACAAAATGTGTACAAATTGTTGAATGGAAAATGCATTTACTCTGTAAACTTTCACCTAAACTGAAATTAAATAAATAAATAAACTTTTGTCAAGAATAGAGGTAAAAGGGTAAACTAAAAATACTAAATTCACTGAGAAGAAGGTTTAAAAAAGGAATACAGGGACAAAAACAAATGGAGGAAATTCAATGTCACTAAGAATATTAAGGAGCTCTGGTAGCACAGTGCCTAAGGCATTTGCTAACCAGAAGGCTGGCGGTTCAAACCCACCAGCCACTCCTCGGAAGGAAGGTGGGACAATCTACTTCCGTAGTGATACTGCCTCAGAAACCCAAGGAGGGGTCGCCATGAGTCGGGTCCAACTCAATGGCACATAACAACAACAACAACAACAAGAATATTAATAGCTATATTAATTATTTCCATAATTAAGTGTAAACAGACTAAATACTCTATGTAAAAAGCAAACAATGTCAATCTAGATCAAATAAACACCAAAACAAAATTTCCAACTATACAAGCTGTTTAAGAAACATATTTTATAATAAATCATAAACAGAATCATAGTCTTGGAGGCCATTAAGGTCAACTGGCATAACATGGTCCACAAAGACAATGCTCTACATCCTACTGTGGTAACTAGTTACTGGAGTTTAAAAGTTTGTGAGTGTCCACCAAAGTGCAACTACAGGTCTCTCCTTGTTTGGAACAATGAAGAAAGAAGAAAATCAAAGATGCAAGGAAACAATCAATCCGAAGGACTAATGGACCACATGACACCCAGCCTCCACGACCAGAAGGACTAGACAGTGCCGTGTTGTCAGTGCTGACCACTCTGAAAGGGATCATAGTACGAGATCCCTGACACAGTAGGAGAAAAATGTGCAACAAAACTCAAAATCATGGAAAAGACCAGGTTTACTAGTCTGATAGAGACCAGTGGAACCCCTGAGACTATGCCTCAGGCAACCTTCACGCTCACACGGGTGGTTCAACTTTCAGTCAAACAATAGCCAGGACTGTAAGGTGAACAATAATAGCAGGGAGGTACATACTCATCAGAACAATCAACCATATGAGATGAAGAACGCAGCATTTGTCAAGGGATAAAGCTCAGATAATATCCATAATATCCATACATCTACAAGGAAGATCAGTTAATACAACTATTATTCAAATTTATGCACCAACAACCAAACCCAAAGATGAGGAAATTGAAAATATTTATTAGCTTCTGCAGTTTGAAATTGACCGAACATGCAATCAGGAAATCAGGATGTGTTAATTATCACTGGTGACTAGAATGGAAAAGTTGGAAACAAAGAAGAATCACCGGTAGTTGGAAAATTTGGCCTTGATGACAGAAATGATTCTGGAAGTCGTATGATAGAATTTTGCATGATCAATGACTTATTCATTGCATGTACCTTTCTTCAACAACACAAAGGTAGCTATACACATGGACTTCACCAAATGGAATACACAGGAACCAAATAGACTACATCAGTGGTAAGAGGCAATGGAAAAGCTCAATATCTTCAGCCAAAACCAGGCCAGGAGCTGATTGTGGAACAGACCATCAACTGCTCATATGCAAGTTCAACTTGAAGTTAAAAACAGTTAAAACAAGTCCACCATAGCCAAAATATGACCTTGAATATATCCCTCCTGAATTTAGAGACCATCTAAAGAACAGATTTGATGCACTGAACACCAATAACTGAAAAACAGAAAAACTGTGGGATGACATCAAGAATATCATCCATGAAGAAGCAAGAAGTCACTAAAAAGACAAGAAAAGAAGAAAAGACCAAAATAGATGACAGAAGAGACTCTGAAACTTGCCCTTGAGCAGAGAGTAGCTAAAGCAAATGGAAGAAATGACAAGATAAAAGAGTTGAACTGAAGATTTCAAAGAGCACCTTGAGCAGATAAAGCCAATTACTATAATGAAATGCGCAAAGAGTTGGAGTTAGAAAACCAAAAGGGAAGAACACTCGGCATTTCTCAAGCTGAAAGAATTGAAGAAACAATTTAAGCCTCGAGTTACAATATTGAAAGATTCTATGGGCAAAATATCGAATGGTGTAGGAAACATCAAAAGAAGATGGAAGGAATACACAGAGTCACTGTACCAAAAAGAACTGGTAGATCATCTATTTCAGGAGGTGTCATATGATCAAGGACCAATGGTACTGAAGGAAGAAGTCGAAGCTGCATTGAAGGAACTGGCAATGAACAAGGCTTCAGAAATTGACGGAATATCCACTGAGATGTTTCAACAAACAGATGCACCACTGGACGCACTCATTCGGTTATGCCAAGAGATTTGGAAAACAGCTACCTGACCAACTGACTGGAAGAAATCCATATTTGTACCCATTCCAAAGAAAGGTGATCCCACAGAATGTGGAAATTATCAAACAATATCATTAATATTGCATGCAAGTAAGATCTTACTGAAGATAATTCAAAAACAGTTGCAGCAGTATATTGTCAGAGAACTTCCAGAGTTGCAAGCTAGATTCAGAAGAGGACATGGAACAAGGGATATCACAGCTACTGTCAGATGGATCCTGGCTCAAAGCAAAGAATACCAGAAAGATGATTACTTGTGTTTTATTGACTATGCAAAGGGATTTGATTGTGTAGATCATAACAAATTATGGATGACATTAAGAAGAATGGCAATTCCAGAACACTTAATTGTGCTCATGAGGAGCCTGTACATTGACCAGGAGGCTGTTGTTCGAACAGAACAAGAGGATACTGCCTAGTTTAAAATCAAGAAGGGAGTGCATCAGCATTGTATCCTTTCCCCATACTTATTCAATCTGTATGCCGAGCAAATAATCCAAGAAGCTTGACTATATGAAGAAGAACGTGGCATCAAGATTGGAGGAAGAATCATTAACATCCTGTGATACACTGATGATACAACTTTGCTTGCTGAAAGTGAGGATGACTTGGAGGCACTTCCTGATGAAGATTGAAGAATACAGTCTGCAGTAAGAATTACATCTCAATATAAAGAAAACAAAAATTCCCACAACTGGACCTATAAGTAGCAACATGATAAATGTAGAAAAGACTGAAGTTGTCAAAGACTTCACATTGCTTGGTTTTACAATTGATACCATGGAAGCAGCAGTCAGGACATCAGACGACATATAGC